ATTGTTTGCCTTATTTAGGCAATCCTGTTAACTCCTTTTCATGTCCTTAATCAATCAACTACAAGAAGTTCTTTAATTAGACTACACAGAAATTTTTGCTGGAGGTGTTGTACTCTGGTAAGCAGTCTCATTCTGAACATCTGGAATCACTCAAATGTATTTTGTGAACAGCATTATAACAGACTGTTTTATTAGTTCATTTATATCCATACAACTACCGAACAGCCACCACCCCCTCTTCCCCCCTTATGGTTACATGGTTTGAAGACATAATCAAGCAATTTCCACTGTATGTCAGGGTGTACGAAAGAATAATATCGCCAAAGCGATGCATGTGCTACTACTCTCTGATTAAGCTTGTAAAAATATACAAGTATCTGCTTATTACTACTGTACATTGTTAACATGTGAAAATAGATGAAGATGCGGAGTAAAATCTTCAGAACTAGTTTGAATTACAATCTGGTTGCAATTACAGTAGGTTAATTTCACTGAGTCAGTTTCTTCTTTGCCTTTTAAAGAGCAACCTCTATGAAGTTCTTTAATGTTTTTGGATGAATATTAATTACCTGCGATTTGTTGCTAAGGTTTTATTAAAGTAGTTGATAGAATTGTGCATGTTTAGCTCAAGAAGCAGGGCTTGCATACATCTCTTTCAGACAGCTGGGTTAGCTCATCGAAACGATATTGTTTCCAGAACAAAATAGGCCCACAGTAGTCACTGTAATGCAAGTCTGTAACCCCTTGTACATTCATTTTGCACCTGCAATTTTGTCCTGCTTTTTTTCTCTTTAATCCTACATCCCTTATAGCTAGCTCTTCTGGGACCATAATCTAGAAGAGTGGCTATTGAAGAGGCTCAAAATGTTAAATTCTTTCCTGTGCAGAAATGTTTTATGGAAACTCGACGAGTTGATTCGTTTGCACATCTTGCTTTTAGTGATATATACTCGATGGTTAAGCTGTAGTGTACTCAGAAAATTAGAAGTATTGAAATCATACTCGTAGAGTCGTAGTATCACATGATCATCCCCTCCTATGATGAATATTTGGAGAACTCTTAAGCACAATCAAGATTAAAGCAGAAGTAGTAATTACGTTAACATCAAGATCATCCCTGTTTTACTGACATGCTTCTTACCGGCCAATACACATCAAAGTTTACTTAGCTTGCGAAATTAGGAATGCTTAGTCATGGAATAATCATAAAACATAATGTTTACTGTGAATAAACTTCTATGCCAAGTACGTACGCAAATTATTTCTTAGTTAAATAACTACTCTTGTTCCGGCATTTCTTAAATTATCTTCCTATTTATTGTAACAATAAAAACCAATAAGAGAACGTGAGCCTTTTTTTTAACCGTTTGGGCGGGGAAGAGAAAATTGTTTATATTAATATAAATATTAGAAAGCAATATAAACGAAAGTAGGGATAACTCAAGTGGTTAGAGCTTCCTTTTCAATTTCAGGTGATGTTGGGATCGATTTTCATCACCCCCGCACCAAAAAAGAAAGCAATATATATGAATCTAAAAGTCGGTAAGTAGAAAAATCAATGAAGAACATACCTAATGGAAACTGGGAAAATCATTCGAGAACGTAGGTAGTAGACCAATAAACAAAGAACGTAGGGACATCGTCTATCATTTACTAATACTTTTTAAGCATTGATTCTTCAAACGACGGAAACTAGCAATATGGTACCTCTAATCAATAATAATGTGATTTTTATATGCTCATTTTGCATATGAAATGTTTTTATTTCGTGCAAGAATCATTTTCTTTCTTTACTATTTCTTGAGTGTGGACCCTTCCATAAATCATTATCAGAAAACTTAGGACTTATTTGGTATTGTTTTTGGTTTTCAGTTTTCGGTTTTTTTAAAAACAAAAAACCAAAAACAGGAAACAAGAAAAATGTGTTTCCACTTTTCTACTGTCAGTTTTCAAAATTATCAAGACTTTAATAAGTTTAATAAATTTTTTATTCATTATATGACATATATCATATGATTTTGTAAAACAAAAAAATCAAAAAATAGAAAATCAAAGCGATGTCAAACCCTTAAAATCTAGTGTTTCAACAAAAGAAAATCAAATTAATCATTTAAACCCTCGTAAAAAGTGAAATTACACATCCAACATTTGATAATTCCACTTACCTTTCAATCAAAAAAAAATTATGTAGGCCCTCTAATTAACCAGCAAAATTCCAAACAAAGTAATTTAAAATAGTTATACATTTATCTTATGTGAGGATGACTTTTGTCTTTTGATCATTTTAAAATAGTTATACATTCGCTCATCTACAATAGACGAGGAGCCGTTAAATAATGTAAAGAAGATAAGTCTACACCTATCTCATGCACATTGAAGGTCCCAAACATACCATATCTCATGCACATTGTGTACTGTGTAGTAGAAGTTGCAATAATACAGAGTCACTTACCATCTTGTATATTGGACTCAATATTACCCGATTTCGCTCCATTTCTTTTTACTTGCAATTCATCATATAGGAATACAATTTAAGAAAGAGACTAAAAAATTTAACGCATGTGGAATACATTTTTCATTAGAATAATTTAATCTATAATGCCATGACATTTTCCTATAATTAATGTTAAAATTAATTTAATGACTTATCCATTTATCCACTTCAATATCTTTTGCATAATTTGTGTTGTCATGTGGTGTGTTGTAAGTTAAAAATAAAAAAAAGTTCTTTTTTTTTTTTAATAAATGAAATAATAATAATAATAATAACCCTTAATGAACTTTTTTTTTTTTAATAAATGAAAAAATAATAATAATAATAACCCTTAATGTATAATGTAGGTATTTTCCTATTGAAAAACATAAGGTGGTGGAAAATGCAACCACAGACAATATAACACCTACCAAATAATTTGGCCATTATTGTCATGTGCATGGCTTCATTTTTTATAACATGTTTTTCTTTTTTTTTTTTTTTTTTTCCTTTTATATAATAATTTTTCTGATTGGAGATAAACTTCCTGTAAAGTACATAATCATTTACTACTCATTAGTTTGGCTTTTGTTAAGGTGTTGACTCATGCTGCTATCTACAATTAGCAATTTTTTTTTTTTTTTTAACAATTTTCAAATTATTTTTATAAATATTTATTTTTAACTTTGACTTTTGTTCTGTTTATTAGTAATGCAGGTGAAGAAAGACTTTCTTACCTTTACATTTAAAAATGTTAAAGCTTATTAGCTTAGTCAGTATTCACACGAATGTAGTACGGTGTAGTAGTTAACTTTGCATTGAATTTATTTAATTTGAAATAAGAAAAATGCATCTATCTGTAATTTTACAATCAATAAATATAATCTGTAACTAATTAATTTAAATTAAATTAAACATTGCTAATGCCTATTGTACAGTTGTACTGTCAATAATAACTAATTTGGTCCAAGTCATAATGTTCATTCATGAATATAGTGACCCTTTGAGACTTTGAGTTAAAGCTGTATTTTTTTTTTTTTAAAAAAAAAAAATGTATCTTACTCATATAGAGAGGTAATGAAATCAAAAGAATTATGAATATTCACTATAATAGAATAAAATTGATATTCACTACACTTTTTAATTACAAATTACCTTCAAAATTTTTTTACAAATTACCTTCAAATTTAATGTTTTCATTAATTTTTTAGGATCATAATAAAATTGTTAACTTATAAAAATAGACAAAAGAAATTCTAAGTCTTTAAAAGAAAAAAATATGAGTATAAATAAGGCATTATCTTTGTATCTTCTCGGTACCACTTTCTACTTTTGTTTGTTCCTTTTTGTAAGACATATGTATGTTACTTTCCTAGCTACTTTGTTTAACTTTTTGTAACACAAACCCTAATTATTAGTTATAACACTTTTTATCTTACAGTATCTACAATGATAATATAAAAGGACTTGCTTGCAATTTATAAATAGTTGGAGCTACATGCTCACCATTGTGGAGCTACAAAGGTTGTAGCTAATGCCAAAACTTGTAGCTCCATGGAGCTACAAGGTTTTGCTCCACTCAATGCACTTATATTGATTTGTTAATATTTGTATGTATTTGTTTTATGTTTATTTTTTTTATTTTTTAATTTTTGGTTTATTATTATCATTCCCAATTACAAAAATAAATAGTTAACCATTGTGAAGGTTGTAGCTTAGATGTTGTAGCTTATTTTAACTAAGAAAATAATGATGTGGCAATTACTAGCTACAAACACATGTAGCTAGCCATTGTGGATGCTTTTAATAAACCTTACATATTAGTAAAAAAAACAAAATATTCAAAATCATAAGAAACAAAATCGGTAAATCGCTAGGAACACACTTGTATCTTAAATAGACAAACACTAATCACAATGACAAGCAAGCCAATTGACACATTACAAATCCTACTAATTTCCAAACTTTTTCGAGTTAGATTTATCAAGTATTCCAATTACTCCCTCCGTGTTTAAATAAATGAAACATTTCGACTTTTTACACTATTCACTCTTCAAATTAAATTTATTCTAGTCACTCAATTCTTTAACCAAACAACCGATTCCAATCACAGATTCATACAAGAAGTAGATCCGAATACTGATGAACCAACTCTGCTTCTAAACCCACCAACCCAGTTTGTTGTTTTTGTTTATTGTTATTTACTTGTAATACTATGATGAAAGTTTATAATTTAAAAATTCAGCTTGTACGACTTCGGCAGTTAGTCAGAGTCTGCCCCAAACCTCAGCTACTCCACAGCCAAAGCTGGTTAGCTTGGACGCGAGACCAAGAGCACCCATGGCTACCAGCCTACTAACCCGACCTGAAGTTATCGTATCGAACCTGAAGTAACCCAGCAGGCCAACATGAACCCGAAGAATACAGAGGTTGATATGAATGAAAAAACATAAATATGAGAGATGATATTGTTTATAAAAAAAAAAAAAAAGTAAGCAAAGATCATTTAATGCCACCAAACATGACATATGCGAGGGGATATAAAATGATGGGGACAGATGACAAGAAACAGATCTTAATACCTCTCTCTATTTTATCTTTCCATCTCAAATACAGTTAAATACACTGAAGACAGAAGATATATATTAACCCAGAATAGATACACATTTTTGCAACAATTTCCATCTAAACAGATCAGGAAAAAAAGGATTAGCAATTTTGAGTTAGTTACCATTGATACACAAAATAAGTAACTTGGAATAATAATTTAATTAGAGTGTAATAAACAAAGATTACGGGGAAAAACAAGGGACGAAAAAAGCACCCTTCTTCGCGGTCTCAACTGGTCCATTCAACTACTGACTCCTCTACAAGTTCTTCAAGAAGTTTCCCTTCAATTTCTTTGCCGATACTGTCAACTTGTAATCTTATTTGATCATTCCACCCTTTCCCTGTAACTTCCTTCCTCACCAGCCTCTCTACCAAGCTGTGGTTGTCCCCACAATCAACTGAAAGGAACTTGACCTCGCCCGGCAACAATTCCTTCATCCAGGACCACACCTTGTCTGCCAATGCTGTCCCTGTCCCACTTTCCAAGCACCCGTGGCTAGGCCTAACACATGATCCACCCCAATGGCTAGCAGTGGTTCCAAAACCTGTAATGTCCACTAGTGCCGCGTTAACACAGTCAAAGACGAGCTTTCTGCATGATCTTAGCTGCCTCCTTTTCGCTTCGTGTAATGGCTCCTTGGCGGTCAGGTCGATGTATTTATCTCTCAAGAGGGGATCTAATGGGCTGTCCGGGGAATGCCATCTGGCCAAATTTGAACCCACTTGTCCCTCATCATCAAGACCTGCCATCGTTAGTAGGGATTGAACTAAGTAAAGATATTCGACCTCATCATCCTCTGCTCCTGGGGATACAAACGGAGAACTTAAAGGATAGTTGGTGGACGTTTCTGCAAAGGATTCTTCCCATGATAAGGTCCTTGCAATTGATCCGATTGGTGGTGATTTATCAATCAAATTAGACTTGCCAAGACTCAGAGGAATATGCTCTCCTGTTTTATGAATAAATGAGGAAATTTTTGGTCAGTGATAAAGGGCAGTAAACATAAAATATCATGTTAAAAAAACAGAAAAGTTAAATACCATGCAAATGAGACTCAATGCTACGAGAACATCCAAGTAAGGCACTGTCATCCTCTTCAAATGGAGCTTCCAGGACTGAGATAGGGCTAGGTTGTTCCTGATTCTCACCTTGAGTTACAGGTGCCCCTGGCTGGGATACAGCAAATCCCTACAGAACCACAGAACATACTTATAAACATACAATTTGTGATTGCAAAAACTTCAAAGGCATACCCAGATCACAAACAGAAATTAAATAATTTAAACATGACATTAAAAATAAAAATAAAAATATATAAAAAAAATAAAAAAAAAACTTCCAGAGAAAGCATCAGTAATGCAAAAGCAGCAAGTCATACAAACAAAATTTAGGTGCAAAACATCATACAAGACTACAATTCATATGAATCATATTTACCTGCTGTGAACTAACGCCTTGTCCAAGTCTCGTATCACTAAGATTTGTCATAACAGGCCCCCTATGCAGCTGCAAAGTTGGAGATAGCACCCCCTCAGAATGATCATTGCTTGTTCTTCCAGGAGGTGCCAGGAATCCGGGAGTTTCGGCTGCTGCCAGTTGAGATTCATCATTAGAAAGTGATTTGCTGGACTTCTCTTTCCTAGATTTTTTATTCCTTGAGAAAAACAAGCTTGTGACCTTCCCAGTGAATGAGGTCTTTGATGCCTTTGCCTTCATTATTTCCTTCGAAAAATCCCCCTTGCAATGTGCTGGACTGGTGACATCAACATTCAGCCTTTCTCCATAAGCTGTAGATGAAACAGGGACTGATTTTGATCTCAAAAGATTCTTGGGAGAATCAGAACCGCATTCTCTTGCATCCATATTGCTATTCAAGCATGAAGTTGATCCCCTGGGATCTTGATCTTTATTGTTGTCCTCAACCTCACATATTTCAGAGTTCTTGATCTCAGAAAGTGCAAGCATTTCACCAAGCGTACTGGAACTTCTTCGAATGTGCCGTTGGTCATGATTATTATTGTTGTTTCCATGTGATGCCATCATGGCCCATCTCTCAGAAAGTCTCTTTTTGGCTTCTCTACAAACTGACGACTCTGGCGAATAAGATGCACGGCTGAAAGATGACGAAGAAAATGGGCTACCAAATCTATTGACATAATCCCAAGAATGCCTTGACGTTGGCGACATAACTTCAGAATCACTAATATTTTCAGCTGCAAATTCATTTTCAGATTTTTCGAAAGAACTTTCATCCCCTGTATAGCCATTAGAAAATACAGAAGAAAGTAATGTTTCATCTCTTCGATGACCTGCCAGATTCTCACGCATCTGTTGCGTGATTTCCTTTGCCACTTCCCTTGCTTCTCGGGCCTCCTCATCCTCTGGTTCTTCAAAGAAACTTTCACTCGGTAGAACCCGCGGAGAGGATGGGGTTGAAGAGATTACTGCCTTAGGTTCATTAGCCTTAGCAGGACTAGGTTTCAGCACCACTATCCGGGTTGGCTGAATAGGAGGACTATCACTAACTTTCCAGGATGATATAGTAGGCGGAAATCCCCTATGCTGGTTATCCCAAGCATTGACCTGGTTTAACGAAACTTGCTTCTTTACTTGCTTTTCATTCCTCTTAGCTGGTGCATCAAATTTGTCATCGCCCACCATTTTAGAAGGTCGAAGGACAGTAATACGTTTGGTTTCTGGAGACGGAGAGATGGATTCCCCTATAATGAACTGCTGAGAAAACAAAGAATTTGGCTCTTGAAGAACTTTGAGAAACAAGTCACCGTTGGAACTCAACACATCTAAAGCTTCTTGGAACTCCTTGGTCTGTCGTAGCTTCTCATCCGTGGAAAGGCGTTTTGCTTCCATAAATTTTTGACGAATGAGTGCCAGCTTTTTTTCATTCACATTTTCAGCAAATCTACCCTTTTGAGGCGATTTATCTCTTCTACAGTTTGTTCTTTGAGATTGCTGCCAGATCTCATATATGTCCTTATATTCATCCTGATCTCGATAAGGATAAGCCTCACTATCAATTTGCTTGTTGAGAAAGTCATGTTCTTCCTGCCAATATCCTACTGGTATCTCTGAGTGACTTGTTCGATAATAACCTCTTGATTGAATCCTCTGGGGAGCAAAATCAGGCTGTTGCTGAGGAATCACATCAAGTCCCATCAACTTTGCTACTACATTAGGTGGCTTCTGTTTAAATTCCAAGTCCTTTGACATTTCTTGAGCTATTAAAATTTTTACGGGAGTTCCATTAGTTTTTCTGTTTGATGAAGACCTCCTTAAGTCGGAGACCATCTGTAAATCAAACAAACCACAAAAATAAGATTAGAATACAATTTGACTGCACATGATAATTAAGCAAACAACAAAAGGAATCTATTAAACATCAGAAAAATATTCTATTTACCACTTTATCTTCCATCTCATCCGCATTAATGCTCGACATCCTAGAGACATCAGATCGACATCTTGATAAAGAAGAACCTGCAAATTAATCAGCTTATTGTCATTAGAGCTAGCCCCATAGTCTTTACCCAATATGTAGATTTGCAACCTTTTTTATGAGGAAAATGCTAATTTGACAGCACAAACTCCACAAAAGCAGCAATGAAGGACAATATATATATATCATGTAGAAGATGTGATGGTCAGGATAAACATATAACGTGTCCAAATGAGATAATATGATTTATTTTTATTTCATCTAAAAAAAAAAGAAAGAAAGTTGCTAACATTCAAGAAACAAATGAAACTCTAAATGGAATTTTTTTAAAACAGCTTCATAATTGCATAAACTAAGATTAACACATATTACAAATAATGGACATGGACTCATGATAGCTCAATTGATGCTAGCATCCTACAAAAAAGCAGTATTCAATGGCAGTACTCCATTATTTGAAGCAAAAGAAGATCCCCATAGAATATGATGCACCCCTGCATGTCATTACGCCAAGAAACTTGGACTTTGCATCATCCAATCTAAACTTCTACAAGCCTAAGTTAACGTATAAGTTGGTTGCCCAAGAAACAATATTTGACAGTACGAGTAAGAGAAATCACCGTCATTATACGGCTTGTCAGTGAGAAGCCGGTTTCCAGACATGCCGGAAGTTAAGTCGAAGAGGTTGACCATTCTTCCCAAACATCCTGGCACAGGTTTCTCAGAACCACGAGGTTTACCATTCAGTTGAATCCCATTCATTTGAGCACCTGCCACAACATGTTTCAAACCTTAATCCCTCTATATCATTTAGTAGTAGCCGAAGCACAATGTGAAATCACTTTACAGGGCAAACAAAGAACCAAATCAGAGCATCTAACGCACTGTATTCAAATTTATGATCTTTCAGTCCTTAGCAAAAACGATGCATCAATTCATACATAATTTTGCACACCAAAACAAGACACACACGGCAAACACAAAAACTGAGATCAAGTATCATATAAAAACTGTCTAACCATTGAAAGTACTAACAAAGTGGCAACCTTCTCCACCATAAATGCATGTACTCAACATCCCCGCATAGAATGAAAGAACAAACAGCAGCTCAGACAGCAAAGAATAAGAGATAAAACATCTCGAATTTAGTTCAAAACAAGACGGGTAAGTTTCGAGAAAGATCAAATACAATGCCCACAACTTGTATCCAGGAAAACAAAACCCCATATAAACCTCCTCCTCAACAAAGACCTCTCAGTGTCAGCTAATAAAACTCACAGAAAAAGCAGGGGAACAAACAGGAACAAAAGCATAGAAGAATAAAAAAGGAATTTACAGATTAATCAGAATTATAGGGACTAATCCACTGATTTCTACTGTACACCCAAATGATATTTCACATCAAAGCTGAATAGAACACCAACTACCCGCCAGCGTAAATCTCAAGGAAATCAATCAATCACCATCCTACAAAATTTATATTAGAATTAAAAAAATAAAACCCATCTTCAGCATGATTATTCAACCCACATTCTATTCCAACCACCATGAAAAATAATAATTAGCTTGATTCTGGGAACTTTTACAACCCCAATATTGTAATCATTGACAAATCATACACTAAAAGTAAAACAACTATACTATTCACATTGAAAAATTAAAAAACTAAAAAAAAAATGATCCAGTGAAAAATTGGTTGATTGAGACCTTTTCAGTGATATTTGGAGTGAATTTAAGCACATACCCAGTAAATTTACGAACTTACCCAGTAAAAATTTCACATCAAATTTCAGAAATCTCTATAAAAAAAATCCCAGAAATCCCCAAATTACTCAACCCACATTCCAATCTAGCCACTAAAATCTGAGAAAATTAGCTTGATTTTACCTACAATTGCATAATAAGTAAAGTGTACAATAATAACCCAGCCCAAAAAAACAAAAAAACTATTATTATTAATAAATTAGAAAACAAAAAAAAGGGAAAAAGGCAAATTACAAGAAAAGCTGATTTTTTTTCCAAAAAGCAGCCAAAAAAGAGAGTAAAATAAAGACAGTACACTAAACAACTAGAAAAAAATGCAAATTAAAAAAGGAATAGATTCTGCAAGTACCTCAGAAAAAGCTAGAAGTGAGATCGGATGAGTAAAGACAAATCCAGTAAAATTAGAGTAAATTAAATCGAACCCAGAAGAATTCTCAAAAAACCCAGAAAAATGCAGTTTTTAGAAGGAAAAATAGTGAAGAATAAATGAACATTGTTTTCCGGTGGGTAGGTAGCGGCGAGAGTACGGCGGATTACACGGCGGTGGAAATGGTGGTGGTAGAAAAAAGAATGAAGAGAGTGAAACTTAAAAAAAAAAAAAATGGGGTATTTGTTTTGGTTTTGGAATAGTTTGGGTTAAGTTAAGTTTTTCTTTCACACTACTCTTTTTCTTGCAAGTCTTATCGCTTTCTCTCTCCTAATTTTTTTGTGTGTTTGTGAGAAAAGTGGGTTGTTTTGATTTTATTTATTTTATTTTTATTCTATTCTATGGAGTACTATTTTATTTTTATTATTACAAGTAATTTTTATTAAATAATAATAATAATAATAATAATAATAATAATAATAATAATAAAGTTTGGGTTTTGTCTTATTTACTCACTTTGAGGACACATTAGCATAAACCGTGTAATTTTTAGGTTTATTTAATTTTTAATTAATTTGATTGTTTTTTTGTGAATGAAATATATAACGTGTGAGGATTTGAGGGATGTGGGGTTAGCTAATGAGTTTAGTTGGGATTTATTGTAAAATTTTGATTACGGATTAAGGCGAAGAAGAAAAGGGGTGATACAAGTTTTGTAGACTTTTTATTTTGTTTTATGGGAGTATAAAAATGGAAAGGTGTTTCAATAAAAACTTTTGGATTTTTTTTTTTTTTAAACAAAATACAGAGTAATTATTAGAAAGTTATGGAGGGATATTTCTTTTTTTTTTTTTTCTTTTTTTGAAAGAAACCCCAACGAGGGCTACTATTGTCTTAAATAATTGAAAACAGTGTTAAGAACACAAGGCAGGAAGTTATGGAGAAATTCAATGTGATCTTTTTGAACGCCAATTGTTTGCTCACAATATCTCCTCATAAAGGAGATTAAAATTAAATTGATAGAAAAAAATCTTCGAACATTCTAAAATGGAACGTTTAGCCTCTTTAATATTTATTTCAAGATGATAAGAAGGAAACTAAACTATATAACTAAAATTTATTCAAAAAAAATATATATATAACTAAAATTAAACTATAGAATAGGATACTTTTGGAGTACTATAATATGTTTTTAAGGAAACTAATTTTTGAGTTTTAGAAAAATTAATAATATAACACAAATCTCTACTCCGTATTATGTAAACCAGGGCGAGGGGGAGTGAAAAGTTGGTGTCCAACTTTTGAACTATCCAAAAACTGCCCCTAAGAGCTAAACAAAATAATAAATGATATTTTACAAAATAATATGAGTTTTCAAAATTTTAGATAACTATTCTATTAATAAGGAATTAAAAATCATTTACATAAATATGTCAATTAATTAACATTCAACTTTTCACATTATAATCAATAATTTTGTCACAAATTTTGATCTTTTTTCATATCATTTGTTATTGTCAAATTGATCACTAATGCAATAATTATTCTGTCATTTTCTTCCAAATATCACAATGCATAAAATTATGTATTAGTTATTCACACTGTTCAATATCCATTTACTTATGTATAAGAAGTTGTGGAAAATTTTTGATAATACATTTACCATCTCAACTAACTTTTATTAATGTTTTAAATTTCACATAATAATATTATGTATTCCTTTCATTTATTAAGTAAATTAGAGGTAATATAATTCATTTATTTTTCACAAGATGAATATAAATATATATGAGGTAAAAAAAAGTGAAACCCGAGACAACGCTCAAACCACACACCAACTATACACACAGTTGAACATAATTATCAAATTGAAGAAGTACACAAACTAGCAATCCGGAGCATTGCCCGAGGCACACACTAGTAATGTATTAAAATAATGCAAAGTGTATGACCAAAATTATTAGAATTTTCATGCTTCATACCCATTACTTTATTTATTGTACTTTAAGCCATATTCATGATAATTAATACCATTAAGCTTTCTAAATTTTTTTAAAAATTTATATAGATCTTATAAACATTTTTAAAGTTTTCAACTAATCATTTGTGTATGTAGAAGCGTATAACAAGTACTTACCTACCAGATTGGGTATTAGTTCTACAATATTAAATATGAATTTCTTAGTACGTGGTGACTATATGAATTTTATTTTATTTTTTTGACAAGATATAAATTTCTTAGTACATGGTGATTACATAAACCAAGAGGCAAAGGGGAGTGAAAAGTTGGTGTCCAAATTTTTAAATTACCTAAATTCCCCCTAAAAGCTAAATAATGAAAAAGGAAATAAAATTTTGCTTAATAATGTGAGTTTCCAAAATTTTAAAAAACTATTCCATTTATAAAAAAATAAAATAAAAAATAAAAAAGCATAAAAATTATTTACATAAATATGTTGATCAATCAACATTCAACTTTCACATTATAATCAATATTTTTGTCTCAAATTTAGATTATTTGAATCATGTGTTATTGTTAAATCGATCACTAATGCAATAATCATTCTATCATTTCCATATATATATCACAATGCATAAAATAATTTAAGACACAGTTTAAATTATGTATCAACAATTCACAACTTTCAATATTCAATTATCAATGACACGTTGTTATGAGAAGTTTTGGGAATTTTTTTTTTCACAACTATCTAGCATCTAAAGAAAAAAATAAAATAAAATAATACAGAGTGCATGATAAAAAAATAAAAAATAAAATAAAATAATTACAATTTTCATACCCTGTATATTTGTTTATTACTTTCTTTATTCATTTTTTAAGCCATAATCATGATAAATTAATACCATTATTAAGCTTTAAAAATTTGTTAAACCTTTATGTGACTTAAATTTTTATATATTGAATTTATATATAAATCTTTTTAACATATTTTATAGTTTTCAACTAAATCCTATAAGAGCTACTTATTCAACTTAGGCATTCATTCTACAATATTAAGTATGAATTTCTTAATGTGATTGCATTCATGTATTCTAAAATCAAGCAGGTGACTCACCTTACATACAAATTACTTCCTTTGTCCCAAAATAATAGACGTAGTTAAACTTAGCACACATTTCAATTCTTTAATTTGACCTTAGATATAAATATATAATTAAATATTATTAAAAATATATAAAAATTTGATATTATGAAACTTTACATTAATCTTTTTTTGAAGAAAACACAAACCAAGAAAACTAATTAGGATAAATTTCAATTATTACCCAAAAAGGGCGTCTTAGCTTGTCAATTATTACCTTACAAAAAAGTTGTTAATTACTACCTTTCTTATTTTAAACAAAGCCCCAACGGGAATAAATTACTCATTACTTAAACGAGAGTCATTCAAAATTAGATTACAAACAGAATTAGGAAATATCTTCCCACGTAACCCTACCGGGCACGCCCAATTAAAGGGGCACATGAGCAAGTTCATGTTACCTTATTTCCCCCTCTACCTTATTAAACAGAATTAGCCTTTGTTTCAATGCAATTTGGGTCCCAAGAACCACCAAACTACTCACTAACTAACGCACCACAACACAATACCCCCACTATCCTTCGCAACCATCCCAACTCCCAGACCTAGACTCTCCGGCACCTCGGCATCCACATTAATTTTTATTGAGCCTGTAGTAGTAGGAGCCGACCAACAACCCTTTGAGTTAAGGCCATTGCTCGGATTGTAGACCTTAATCTCTTCGTTCATCTCACACATAAGCTTCCCCACATACTGCAAAACCTCCATACGGTCGTCCAACTCATCTTCGAATAGCCCACTATATATTACGTACACCCCAAATTGCCCAGCAGATCACCATCACCCACTTTAGCACCTCTTCCTCCAAATTCATTATACACTCCATAATCCAGTCCATGAAAGACCTCCATTGCCCCTCAATTAGTTCACCAAATCCACTAGCCTCCCAAATGCTAGCTGCCCAAGTGCACTTTGACAGAGAGTGCACAACATTATCCTCTTTCGCCCCACAATAACTGCAATCTTTAGAGATGCTCTCAAGTCTAAAATCTTGTAAGGATCACTTCATTACAAGTCCTTCAGAGGAACTTCTTTATTCAAGGGACACAGCTATCCCCCAAATCATATTCCAAATTTGTCTTGACGACCTATCATCTGAACGTTTACCATCCACATCTCCCTGATAAAAAATAAGTCTATAGGCCGAGTGAACAGAATAGCTAGATTCCGTCATGTAGGTAGGGATAGATTGGGTCACTATACCCGCTTTTGAAAGACTCACCCCCTTCGATCCTTGCAACTTCTTCCATATAATATCTCCTTTATTCTTTTGGTGATACACTTTTTTTTTATCTTCCCACCACCAATGGTAAACCCAAATATTTGTCATGGCTTGGATGTCCACAATTCTCATCCCAATGACAAAGCAATAGTATGTCTTCTCCCCTCATCAACCCCTCTACTAAATGAAACCGTTGTTTTGCCAATAAAGATCTACCATTTGACCTGAAGCTCGCTCATCATAGAATTGAAGGACTTAGCATCTTTGATCACATTTTCTTCTTCCACTGTGACTTTGCTAAAACAGACGCAATCATCTGCAAAAAACAAGTGAGAGAAAAAGGGAGCCGATCTAGCAACATGAAGCCCGTGTAATGCCCCAATTTCTAAAGACTTCCTTTACAAACTCAAGAGGGCCTTGACCACCAAAATAAAGAGATATGGGGAGATAGGATCCCCCTATCGGATGCCTCGACCCGACCTAAACTCCTCACCCGGTTTCCCATTCACCAACACCAAGAATCTCACCGATCGAACACATTCTATGACTATTAATCCACCTCCCTTCAAAATTCAT